CTCTTTCAAGTGCAGACAACTGTCTTGGACAAAAATGTTAAATACGTTGCAGGTAGTGATAATTACCCATTCATTTTGAGAGTACTCTTTACATTCGTTGTCAAAATCATCCATGTGATTTGTTTTCTTTCTGTTTTAAATCAAATGTTTTGAATATATTAAAGAACTTTTCTCTTTCAGTTTGTAGTTGGATATCACACCAATCAAGTCTGTATAATTAACAGCATTTAACAGCTTTTCCTCTTGGATATTCCTCTTCCTCTTATGTATTTTACTTTCTGAAAAGGTCACATGAGGTTGCTCATTCTGCTGGTTTAATAAAGCAGTAGTGTACCCTGATAGTGACTGCAGCGTCAGTTATGTCGGATAAAAGTTTGAATCGTCTGTCATTGTAATTTGAAGAACATGTGGATGCAGTGTCACAGCGAGTTCATAATGAGAACATCCTGATTTAAAGCCCCTGAAAACTTGGACTCAAATCTTGAACTATTTCTCTATAAAATAAATATTCCTGACTAAATGAGCAACATCAGAATAAAAAGAAAAAAATAATGAATTAAAGAAGAGAAAGAAAGAAAGAAAGAAAGAAAGAAAGAAAGAAAGAAAGAAAGAAAGAAAGAAAGAAAGAAAGAAAGAAAGAAAGAAAGAAAGAAAGAAAGAAAGAAAGAAAGAAAGAAAGAAAGAAAGAAAGAAAGAAAGAAAGAAAGAAAGAAAGAAAGAAAGAAAGAAAGAAAGAAAGAAAGAAAGAAAGAAAGAAAGAAAGAAAGAAAGAAAGAAAGAAAGAAAGAAAGAAAGAAAGAAAGAAAGAAAGAAAGAAAGAAAGAAAGAAAGAAAGAAAGAAAACAATCTTTAGGTACTATTCATTCAGAGTTCAGCAGTGAGAAATCCAGCTAATCCGTTCACCGGGACTGTGTGGGTGTGGTGTGATCAGATTTGATTTGCAGTGTCCACACAAACCACTGACCGTCATCGGATTCCAATTAAAATGTTGCTGAATCCTAATTGGCGCCCAGCAGTATGTGACATCAGCGTTTCTCAACTGAACCCCATATTGGCAGAAAACAGTTTGTTCATGTCGGAACCTGTCACTAGGTTTTCAAAGGCTTTAAAGAACTGTAGACTTTAGAGGGGCCGAACCGGATCAACGCCAGCCCTCTGACTTTTTGAACCTGTTTACGCCGTATATTAACACGCAGACTGTATCCGGATCTGAATGAGGAAAAGCACATTATTGCCTGGTGTTATATCTTGTCTACACCGGCTGTGCAGCTGAAGCAGCTCACCAGCAGTGCAGCACCTCGGGTCCTCTATCAGAGTCTATACTGGATCTGATCGGTCACAGTGCGAGTGCACAGTACTAATGCTCAGATGCATTTTGGTGTTGCTCACAGCCCAATGCACAATTATTGTAATGAAGCACAGGAGACAGACTGTGAAATGCAACATCCCCTGTTTGAGCCAGCGACCTGCGATGCTGTGTCGTTATCTGTTCTGTCAGATGTGCATGAGACAGGTGACTGAAATGAAGTAGTGTTGACAGCCCAAAGAATCCACGCAGTTGGAATTACAGTCACATTGGACAGCACTGTGATCAGACCTCAGTCCCTGAACGGACTGTTTTGATTCTTTATGTTTGGGCTTTGGTTGATTTCCTGTTTTACTTTGAAATTACTTCCCTTGTGCGGTTGTTTTATTTCCTGTCTTTGTCCACTTTCCCTCCATTGTGATTGTCTGCCCCGCTCTAATGTGTTTCACCTGTGTCCAATCATCCCTGCTTCCCTCGGGTATTTAAGTGTGTGTGTTTCCCTCAGACCTCGTCAGATTGTCTGTGTTATTCCTGTTGCGTTTCCTCAGTGTCGCTTCTGTTTTTCTTCCTGTGTTTTTCCTGCATTTTGGATTTGTTCTGAGCTCTGCCTCACCAGTTTTTAAGTCACGTTTTGTTATTGAATTACCTTTTTTTTCCACCTACACCCTTTTGAGTTTGCCTGCGTTTGGGTTCAGCGATATTCAAACGTCACAGTCTGTTCAGTTTTCCCACATTCTCAAGAAAAGAATCAACCAAGCTAGTTGGCTGCTCAGCTAACTCCTTCCATGCTAACTTAGCTAGCCCAAACAAAATGACATGTCCCTCTGCAAAGGGAAGCTCAGTAAAGCCTCTTTGTGCTGTGTCGGTAAACAAGGCTGCCTGCCCCACCTATCTCATTTGCATTGTAAAATCAGAATATAATGCAGGTGGAAGGTAAGCCCTGATTAGATGCCAATGTCCAGATAAAGTATCCAGGAGCACACACACATATATATATATATATATACCAATCAGAGAAGCCAGCTCATGAAGTATTTTTAAAAGAAAACTAAAAACATTTCTCTTCACTTTAGCCTTTGCACTTTACTCTGCACTTATGTGCTGCTTCTTTTAACTGCTGTAAGTGTTGATGTCGGTGATTGGTTGGTAAATGTGGAAGAAAGACTGGTGTGTGTGTGTGTGTGTGTGTGTGTGTGTGTGTGTGTGTGAGACCCCCGCATCACCACTGATGAGGGTGGTTATTCTGGGGCAACTTCAGGTTGTGCCCTGTGCAGATAAAACCCACAGTGAGTTTTCACCTGTAGTGGAAATGTTGTGTGGCAGCTGAAGTACAGAGAAGTTTCTGTTTAAAGAAAAGGTTTCTTTCTTGACTTTATGCATTCTATGTAAGCCACTATTCATTTATATTAATTATTTATTTCTATTTTCTAATTATCGTATTAGTCCATCTCATTTTAATTCAATTTTTTTAACTTTTCTATGTTCATATCGTCTTTTTATGGGAACCACTTGATGCATATAATTTTAGTTTTAGCGCATTTATGCTGCATTTCTTGTACGTAAGTAGCTTTATAAATAAACTTTATTATTGTTATCCAGATACTGATTACAAGTGAGTGAAACATCCGTTTACTGCCACCATTCTAAGAAGCGTACTTGAGATATTCATGATCTCCTGCTGATTAATTTACAGGAAATATTTCTGGTAACTCCTCCATTTCATTAGAGGCAGTATTAAGTTGTACATATGAAAAACATCCTGGGAGTATTTACCCTTTTTTTAATTTCTCATGTGCTACCCTCCAACCAAATATCAGTTGTGCACACAAGATTAACATCTCCACAAAATCTGCTTCACACACTTATGCTCCTAAAGGAATAAATCTCTTGCTTTTCCTGACACCATGGTGTTTCCTTCAGTTCCTCTCTCAGGTATGAGGTATGTTGTAGTCGCCTGTATGACTCTTCGCCTGTGTGATAGTTAATAGTAAATCGTATTGCACACAATCTGCAGATGTGCCCCGACTATAATTGCGGCGCCCAAATAATTTAGCATTCGCACTTGCTGTGAATTTCATCATCTGCCGAGGCTCTGTTCCATAGGTCCCCTCTGAATAAATGACAACAAAGCAATGGGCAATTATAATAGAAAAATTGGTTTGTAAGATAACATCAAGTTGACTGTGAAAGGGAAGGAAACTCACTGTCTTTTCTCTCAGGGAAAGAAGAAGAGTACGAGGAGTTGGAAAAAAAAATATTTTTGAGTGCCTGAGAGGTCAACCTTTTTTATTTATTTATTTATTTATTTATTTTTTCATGACAAGGTTCATGGAAATGCTATTACACAGGTTCTTGTTTATCATCAGCCGTACTATTCCTCTGCAGAAATATCTGTGTAATTTAGATTCCATGAGAAAACACAGAAGTCCTGTCTGTTCTGTTGATCTGCACCAATCTCAAATACTTATACTGTTGTCCTTCTGTTGCATGAATCTACTTATTGACCTTGCAAAAGATTAAAAAAAAAAATCACCGGAACACAAAGTGACTGCACAGAACAAGGTTAGAGCAATGAATTCAGGGTGCGTTTTTATCGGTCTATAAGTCTTCTACTTTGCATAGCAATTGTGCTGTGAGGAGTCATAGCTGTCCTCGTGATGATTACACAGAATAAATTAAACATGCAAGTATTTGTAAGTCATGAAAATGGATATCTCTTGAATAAGTTATATTGAGAGCAAAGGTGTCGCAGGAAGTGTGGCAGCGCAGAAGGCTGAAGCACCAATCTGACACTTCCTTTTTCTTTTCTTTTTTTCCCTCCAGACACATGTGAAATGTGATCTAAAGAAACCCGATACTTTAATCAATTTTCATGAGAGCAAATTACATATTGCTGACAGCAAGGCATAACTAATTGAATGCTAAATTTCAGACAGTCATTACTTTCTTACAGTGAAACAGTATTGATAGTTTTTTAACTTTACTTCTTTTCCCCACAGAATCAAGGTATTGGATCTAAATAAGCAGTGATGTCAGTATATACTATGACTCTTTAGCTAATTACTGTGCCTATATACAAACACACCCCGATAACTGCGGATTTAAATAAAAAAAAAATATATATTATTTCTGGTTATGTAACTGTCACTCCTCAATGTATTGCTGAGAAAATAACGGTTGATCATGATTAAAGGAGATGTAGACAATCTGTAAGACTGAGCGAAACACATCCTGTCAGAGTAGTGTGTCCTCTATATCACCCTCCCAAACATTCTTTGCACAAATGCTGTCTAATTATCTTGATTCTTTCTCAGTAGAAAATCCTCAAAACATGACCATAGAACAACAGTACAAACTAACAGTCTTGGTTTGTGCAGCTGGAAACTTGGTCCACGGCGACTATTTGCAGGGATAATAAAAACTTGTGGCAAGTGGAAAAATTATTCACACAGTAAATGACAGAAAAACTACCTTCGACTCCAATCTCAAGACTCCAAACCACCGCACGCCTCTATGTACCTTAGCAGAGCGGGGTTTTATACAAGTGTGAAAAAGGGTACTTGAAGTTTCAGAGTCCACAGACGTATGTTTATGTTGCTCCTAATTTTTCCCTCCATAGATGCTGGTTAGATCTGCTCCTAAGAGCTACTGTAGTTTTTAAAGAACAACTCTTCTCCTTCACACTCCTGTACAGGGAGGAGCTGATGATCAGCTCATCCTTCGACTCTTTGGAGGTTCTCCTGGACTCTTTCGGACCTGTCAGAGACTGCACCAAAGACAACGGAGGCTGCAGCCGCAACTTCCGCTGCATATCTGACCGGAAGCTGGACTCCAGCGGATGTGTGGTGAGTCACCTTTCTTTTGCCTGGGAGCCACCACACATTAGCTACAGTAGCAGAACACGACCTTTCCCTCAGGTGTCTAAATAAATCAACTTCAGAGTATTTTATAGAACAGTACAGTCTCTGGTTGTCCGTTCATGATTAATACAGTATGAGAGTACGGGAATGAATGTGTTTACCTCCAACACTCCACACATCCAACCCTTAGGGATTTTTAGATCTGATGCCCAGATACATGGCCTCCACACTGCTGGTTCATATTCTAATGTTGTGTGAGATTCCTGTTGTGGTCAGTCCGTCTGCCGTCTGTTTAAATATTCATGAGCATATCTGCTGGCAAAGATGACCCATATCAAGGACAAGCAGTAAGACCTGCTCTCTGTAATGTGTCTGAGTAGACAGTCTGACTGTGCCTCTCGTCTCACATGCCTCTCAGGCCGACAACACATTCATTACCTCCAGGTGGTGCTTAGCAACCAGGCAATGTAGCAGCCAGGTTTGTTTTTCCTCTCCATCTGCTGGGAACTCCAGCAATGCCGCTCTTGTTATTTGCAGAATCTTAGCGCCGTCTGCTAGTGTTTTGCTTCTCCTAAATCCTCCGCTTCTATTGATAAGCTGTCAGGAAGCAACTCCCCCCCTAACAATTTAATTTCTTTTCAAGAACTTTAATGCACTGCAGTACAGCCTTTCAGGTGGGGCGGGAAGATACTATTTATGCATTTCGGCTCGCTTCATCTTATCTCTTATAATGTATGTCAAGGAGAGGGAAACAGCTTGTGAGATGTTTTTTAATGGGAAAATGTTTCATTTACAGATTAGAGCGTATGCATGTATTTCCAGGCAATTATATTTGAAGATAATACGGTAAACATTAGCGTGGAGGATTAGAAATTATTTTTGGCCGGTCGACAGGCATGTAAAACTCATGCAGGAATGCATTTATTGATCACTCTCTTGCTTTTTCATCATCTGACTTTCATCACTAAGTCTGAGACTTGAGGCTAAAAACGAGCGCGATGGAGGTGCACTCTCTGGGAGATGGAAACTGGATTTAAGATTTATACGTTTGGAATCTGAGATCTATGGCATGTGCAGCATCCTCTGTATTCTCTGTATATTCCTGTTGCAATCAGATGTAATATAAATTAAGGACATCCCATTTCCATTCCTGCTGTGCCCTTCTCAGATATATATATTTTTTTTCCAGCAGTGCTGCTTCTATAAACTGACAAAGAATCGAGCAACTTCAATCTGGGAACTTGAAGGTGAAAAACTACAAAAAAAAAACTGCACAGAAATACAAAAGATGTAGATCACAGTTTGACAGACATTTTACAGTATTGTGCAAGATGCTGAATTTCATATTCAGTCAACACCAGTGTGTTTTTGCGTTAAACTCTGCAGTTTTGATTGACGCAGCTCTCGGGCCGTGGAGCAGCGCAGTGGAGCTCTATTCTTGACAGGATATGATGGAGCCACAAAAAATAAATAAATAAATCATGGAAGGAACACTTGTCTTCGCTGTATCCGGGTATCCCTGCCAGACAGTAATCGTGACCACGACGCTCGGGTCTCATAATTAGTGAGATGGTCCAACAATGGTTGCTGTCAAGTACTCGTGATCTTGAACGTCATACTTTAGAGGGAAAGTGTTAAAAACAAAAGGCGTTTCACATTGTAATTATCACACAGTTGCGTAAAATCCATAATTAAACTTTTCTTTGGAAGACAAAGTATTTTTCTTTTGTCTAAATAAAGGCAGCATTTTGTTTTACTGACAGCAATGCATTAAGCTAAAGGCTACACTTTGACCCCCCCCCCCAAAAAAAGAAAAATACAACACATAGACGGCCGCATCTGATTGATGGGCTAAAAACAACAATGCATAAATGTTTATTTGCATATAGAGCGGGAAGTGAGATCCAACAGTGAGCGTTTTAAAGCCAGGTGTGAACTGACGTACTTGGAGCTGACCGCTGGAGATCAGATAACTAAAGACGCATCGATGCAAGGTCTGACCCGGGACGTAAGTTTGGTCCTAAGTATTGGACAGTGTCAAACTGACCAGAAGTCAGGAGAGTGCACACCTTATTATTTATCCTCTGAGGACCATGAGTGTCTTTACTAAATTTCATGACAGTTCCATCTAATAGTTGCAAGTTGCATCCCCAATCAACAGACACTGGAAAAAGGTCCAGACATATTTAATAGTGCAGTCTACCAACAGTGGCATTCAGCCTCCACCAGTGTCTCTCTTCTTCAGAGATTCAAAGAATAATTTTGGCTTGTTTGTGTTTGTGATTCACTTGGTGTTTTCAGTGGAGTCTGGTGCTGTTAGCACTTAGCTAATGCAATTAAGCTTCTGAGCTCTTGAAGGCCAAGCCATTAGATTCCATCACAAATGTTTTACAACTTCCTGAAAGTGTCGCCCATTCACCGGGTTCTCGTCACATGAAGGCGTTGCTCAGGCCACTCTTCTCAAGTTATGAGAGTTCAGCACAACTATCTCACTTGTTAGTTTAACTTGTGAATATGTGGATTACCTGGAAACTACCAGACACTGCTTTACACACAGTGAGTTGCAACAACATTGCACTGGAGTATCAGAGAGCAGAATATCCATCCAATTTCCATCTTGTACCAAAAGACGACAGAGAGAAGATTTACAGCAAGGGCTTTGAAGTCTCACGGGCATTTGATTATGTTTTACTTAGTTGAGACATCCTTTTTTTTTTTTCTTTTCCTCCCGCTCTCTCCTCGTGTTGGAAAGCACAAAAAAGTCGATATTTTGAAGTGATATTATTCCTGTAAATATAATTACTGGATGCTTTTAAATAACTGCTTGTATTCAGCAGCATCTGGAAGGCTGTTTCTTTACGTTGCGTTGTGTTGCAAATCCTTGCCAAAAGCATCAGGAAAAAAAATAAAATAAATATAAATTCTTCCCCCTGAAATTAGTCTGACATGGATCCAAAGAGAAACAGTGAGAAGATTTCTCGCCAGCGCTCTGAGGTGCCATGAGACTCTCCTTTTTGTATCCATATTAATTATTTATTGCCCTGTTATATTTCCATCCCTGTGAGCATGTTGAAGAATGCTGTGATATTTTGATTTTATTTTTAGGAACCTTTGCAAAAAAAAAAGAAGAAAAAAAGAACAAAGTCAGTTTCTGCTCTTACTGACAGTACTTAGCCTCATTTTTCTGTTTTCCCATCATTTGTGAATGTTGACTCCATTATAACCACAAATGAAACCAAAAAAACATGCTTAAAATAAATCTATTAAACCCACACTTCACTAGAGCCGCACGTTTTTACTTGCAATCTATAATTTATATTCAAATCACTGCTCAAATGTGGGGAACAAATAGATTAGAATGACTTGTCAGAATTCATCTTTATTTGTATTCTACAAACACAGTTAATCATGACTCTAAACCATCTCAGAAATAATTTGCAGACAGAATAGTTTGCTGACTTTAAAAATTTGCAACTGCTGATTAATTATCAACGGGCAAAACGCTCTGTGATGTTACCGTTAGCACAACATAAAACGTACTGTACTCGTCACCGTCTAGCTAGTAGCTGCTGGGGCTACTGACGTGGGTTTACTAACCTCTAACACCATTACAGAAGAACCAGAAACGCAGAAGGTGAACCATGAGAAAAACAAAACGGCAACAAAAAAGTTAGGAGTGAATGGAAACAGGAATTTGAGTGACACCCCGATGTGAAGCTTCCCTTGCTAACGTTAGCACCTCTGGTTGAAGGGACGCTAATGCTGTGCATGTTGGCTAACGTACTTAAATCAATAGGAAAAATAATAATGCATTTTTCTTGTAGTTTTAAGTAAGTTTACATTTGGGCCATCAAAAATATATTTTGGCCACCATATCTAGGGGCTTGGTGGTGGGCAGCGCTTAAAAATATTAACATCTATATATACAGCAACATACAACTGAATCTACTTCCTCTGTATGGTTTCAGGAGAAAAATCTAATATTATATATATGTATCTAAAAATAGGCATTTTTGTGGTTACTATCACATTTAAATAGTTGACAGTGGCTTCAGTGCTTCCCATGAAACAGTTAGTAAAAGAAATGCAAACGTCTGCTGTATTTTTAATGCACCAAGCCTACTTAAAATCATATTTGGTTATCTTGATATGCTATAACTTGATATGGTAGAGAATGTGTTTACATCTTTACTACAAAGAGGCCGTTCCTTTACAGCCTTATCTTTGATTTATATTCAAGTCTAATGTTGAGAATATTAATATTTTCTTTTTTTTTATTTCTGCAGTGCTTCTGTTGGCCCTGAGTGGTCTCTGCAGGTCGTTAATCTCTGGTAATACGTACAGCAGAGCAGGGCTGTGTGAAGCCTGTGAGATGAAACCCAGAGCAAAAGAGTCTGTAAAGCACTCGTTGCTGCGGGGCAATAAGTGAAGGTGATTTTCCAGTATGTTTTTCAACTCAAAGTAACACAGTCGACCTGAAGAATAAAAGTGAGAGGGACTAAAATAGGATTGTGAAAAATAGGCCGGGACTTGCATTCTTTTGATCAGACATCTGTTACGTTTGGCTGCATTTACCTCTGTATTCTATTGAGACATCAATCAAACCATCTTATCCCCTTCACCTGCTCCACTCTGAGCTTCTGCTGGACCTGCCTTTCTCTCTCTCGCTCTCTCTCTCTCTCTCTCTCTCTCTCTCTCTCTCTCTCTCTCTCCGCTCCACAATCACTTTGTTTGTTTTTAATAAACTTTTTCTTTTCTGCATCTTATTGTGTTATTCCTTTGCTTTATCATTTTTCAGTTTTGATCCTCACTTTTATTTCCCAGTTAATGACTCCTATTCCGTTTTATAATATAATTAGGCCCCGCAACTTTAGGCTGTATTGCAAGTTATTGAGCAATGGATTGTATTTCGCAGGTTTGGTTGAGCTGTGGCCGTGCAGTAAGAATTTTTTTCCATTTTATTTTTTAAGCTTGGTGATCTCATC